GGGTGCTCGGTGGGGTTGGGGTGCAGGGAGGGGACGAGGAGCGGGCAAGAGCTCAAGGGTTGAGAAAGGAGGTCGGTGTCGGGGTTGGGGAGGTGCTGAGGTGGGTTTGGGATGAGGCTCCGGGCAGCATCGTGGTGATCCTCGAGCTGGTTTCACCCTCTGAAATGTTTTGAGCCAACCCCTGTCACCCAAAAATTTTTTGGGGTGCACCCACGGGTGCTGCGGATCTTGACATGGAGCTGGGGCAGAGCTGCCACGCTGACCCCAGTTGAGCCGTAAAAGCGAGGAGAAGCTGAATTAACGCCTCGGAGCTGCCCCAGCACCGTGATTTTTGTCCGTAAAAAGCCCCCGAGCCCTGGGATCAGCCAAAGGCGCGACGCCGCTGCCGTCCCTCCTCCCTGAGGGTTTAATCCATCACCGTGCGCCCGTATCGATTCAGGTGCAAGATTTAACGACTGCTCGCATGAGGAGCAGGCTCAAAAATTAATTTCAGGCGTATCCCTGCTAAACCTCTGAGAAAATCCAGAGATTTTCTCAAGCTTTCATCCCGTTGGATGAGTTTTCGGTTGTGGCAGAGCCCTGACGCGCTCGTCTCTCCCGTGTTTCTCCGCAGGTCCCTTTCTTCGGGAAGCGCCAGCACCACACCTGCCCCTGTTTGCCCAACTTCATCTGCTCCAGGTTCCTCGACGGTCGCTACCGCTGCTCCAGTGACTTCAAGAACGTCGATTTTTTAGGGTGACGCCATCCGTGAGCCCCCAGCACCCATTTCTTGCCCTCTCCCGTGGCCGCTGGGTGTTCGCGTAGCTCTGGGTAACCTTCAAAATGCTGGGTTTTATTTTTCCCAAGGTAGGCAGAGTCGTTATCAGCCAGATGTTATATGGGGAAACTGAGGCACGGCTGGTCCAACAAAGCTCTGCCCCAGCCCAGCCCATCACTTCACCTGCCAAAGCGGCTGCAGGGCTGAAAGTGGGGGCACAGACCTGGCTTGAATTATTTTTACCCTTCCCAGTCGTGCGTGAGGAAAAACAAAAATTAGAGAAGAGCAGGAACTTCCTTTTGCCAGGAGTTTTAGCAGTTTCCCTGCAATTCCTCCTGGATAAACCGCTTCTGTACCGAGAATTCCCGTCATGATATGCCCCATCATGTCTTACCAGTGTGTTATTTCTTGGAAGCAGCTGGTGATGGATGCTCTAATCTAAAAAAAAGTCAATACCAAGTACAAGTGGGGATTTAAAAAATGGGTTTCTCCAAGGTTTGAGTTTGGCAGGGCTGGCTCTGCCAGATGTGGGACTTTGGGAAGTAATAAAAATATTTTCCACCTGCAACATCTGCCTGACGTTCGGGAGCCTGCCTTTACGGCTTGGTTTGGAGAGGAGAAGGGGATATTAAAATTAATTAAATGCGCAAAAAGTTCTCTCGGGCACGTGCTTTCCGTTCCCCTCGTAAAAAACCAGATTGTGGAAAATCTCCTGTGTTGCTTGAGCTTCTCTCCTGCTTCCTACAGCATTAATAAATCAAAAAAAATAAAGAATCGGGCTGGGGTTTGGTGAGTTTTGGTGCTATAGCAGCAACTATTCGAATTTCTGACCACCCCGGAGGAGAGCAGGTGCGCGTTATCGCGAAGAGGAGAGTGATTCGGGTTTGGGTCGAAGCTTCCCCGCTCTTGTTTTTCCCTCGACAGAGTGTTGTACGTTTGGTGACAATAAAATGCTGCAACAACCAGGCTGGTTTCACTGATTTTTGCAGTAGTAAATATCACAAATTATTTTCTCCCAGCAGAAAAAAACCCAAACACAACAAAAAAAACCCCAAAATGGCTGAACAGCTTCTTCCCATCCTGAATTCCCATTTGGGGGGGACAGGACTCCCCAAACCCCGGGGCGGCTCTGCCCCCTGGCAGTTACCCGGTTACCCATCCGCGGTGGCTTCGGGCTGCAGGAGGTGACAGTTTGGTGGGAAATTGCTCAATTTTTGGTATAAATTTGTAAAGGGGCATCCGGATTGCGCGAGCAGGCTCCGCTTCTTGATTTAAAATTGCAGCTTCAAGAGGCTGTGACTGCTCCAGCTCGGGAATGCAAAGCTCCTTGCTTTTGCTGGGGCTTTTTCCTGGGTTTTAGTCTCTTTTTTCTTTTTCATTTTTCCTTTTTTCTTTTTTCCTTTTTTCTTATTTTCTTATTTATTTTTTCTTTTTCTTTTTTCTTTTTTCTT